GTGATTCGGTCTAGCGTTGGCTGTAGTGACTGAGGGGTTTTACCAAGTACGAAAATGTCATCGGCACATTCCAAGTCAGGTACTCTGAATTCAGGGCTGATTTCACATCCAATGTCAGGTAGAATTGATTGATGCATCACGCAGTCGATCAAGAAGTTGAAGAGAACTGGGGAAAGAGGGCACACTTGTCGAGCCCTACAAGTCGAGGGGAAAGAATATGACTCTTCACCAAGGGTTCTTACTCGGGCTTATGTTGTGCTATAGTAAGCTTTGATCAGATTGAACAACTTTGGTGGGAGGCCGTCAGTAAGTAAGATTTGCCATAAAGCTTCTCTGTCGATGGAATCAAAGGCGGTTTTGAGGCCAATGAAACAGGTGGTGGTGACCTGTTGATTTTGATGTCTGTGCTCTAGTATGCGGCGTAGAATGAATATCTGGTCAATACATCCTCTACCTGGACAAAATCCTCCTGGGTTAGGACGAGTGCGAGGATTGCGCTCAGTCGAAAATCTACGGAGAAGGATGGTCCCAGACACTTTGGCGGCAAGGATTAACCTTTTTCTCCATATTTTACCTGTTTGTCTGCCCGCAGTACTCTAAGCCACTTCACTACGGGATAGTTCAACCCCTTTATTCCCATTTAGTGGGCGGCAGGGTGTTAGGAAAAATGTTCGTACTTCCATTGTGTTATTGGCGAGGCTGCATCGGCTGAAGTGTGACAAACATTGCAGGTACAGGTGCTCTCTGTGGCCAGACAAATTCAGCCTACGACAGAGGGCTGCTTTCAGATTGGTGGATGACTTTGATCGCTCACCTGGGCTGTTGGCCTGATTTCCAAGTTATAGATATTTGCCCTGTAGTTCAAAAGCGGAAGCCGTGGGAGGGTTCGAGGCTGCCGTATCTTCCACCGACATTTGCTGTGGGTTACGGCTACCTGCACCTGTGGAAGCTGACGCCTATGCTGGCTTGACCGGCTTTAGGGCAACACAGTCCAGTGCAGTTTATGGCTAGACCCGCAATGTCCTTGATCCAGCTGGCAGTCCATTCCCTAACGTCGAAGGCAGCCGGTCCTGTTATCCTCTCCAAATCGAACTGGACCGCAGCCAATGCTGCAGAGTCTACGCCGATAGGGCTTGCTGGTCCGACGGGTAAAACTTATGGTCAGGCTGTTGAACAATAACGGAATTAATCGTCTACTTGAACGAAGGATGAATAACCTAACGAATACATTGGTGACGCCCACAGACGCTTCGTCTAGTCTTATAAGTATGACAGCCTATGTACTATCCTATTTGACCCCCCTCCCACGCCCTCTTTGATGTTACCTTCCCCTCCCCATACTTAAATCTCCATCTCCTATACGTTTAAAAGAGCGAAGATAGGAGCGTAGTTCTCCCATGCGAAGTTCTGAGTCGTCCCCTGTAATTATGGCTGTTGTCACAGTAGAGTTTTTTCCACTCTCTTCACCGGTCTTGGGTCTCCGAAAATCGGACTGTCTGTTGTGACTGCAAACAGTGCAGAGGAAATCTCCTTGTCGACAGTCGTCAATATAATTTTCTCAGTCGGAAAAAAATAATACCCACTGGGTAAAAGTTAAGTTGGTTACCTACCATCCAAGCCCCAGAATTCTGTGGTATTAATTGAGTTTACTTTTTAGTTTACTATTTAGTTGATTAGTTTACTTTGAGCTGACCCAATTGTGATAAAACTCGAGGCGTTCGGCGGGATTTGGACCCGCAGAGTAGAGAAGGCCTTTACCGGAAGCCAACGCTCTAACCAATTGAGCTGCAAATGAATTTATACACACTTTTGTCGATCTTACCCGCGGGTAAAATCGACCCAAGTGTGATTAAATTGATGGCACGGGGTGGGGCTTTCGAAGCTCAATTGGTTAGAGCGTTAGCTTCTGGTAAAAGTCTTTTCTACTATGCGGGTTCAAATCCCGCCGAACGCATCGAGTTTTATCACAATTGGGTCAACTCAAATTAAGAAAATCTGTCAAACCTAATAATTTATTAATTTACTTAGTATTGTTTGCCTGAGTTTAGTTAGTTAAGATCAGTATATTGTAGTCAGATATGTATTATTAGAGTTAGTTTAGTTATTTATGCATATTTATCTAGCGTTGGCGGTATCTAAGTAAACTATAATTAAACTAAGAAACTAAAACTAAATTGAACCAAAACAAATAGGACTAAAAGCAACCACAGCACTAGGGCCTAGGGGTATCCAACTTAAATTTTACCACCCACATTTCGCTGCGCTCGCAGCTGTCGTCGTCGATTTAATTTATTTGAATAAATTAAATCGTCCCCAGACGCGGAATTCTGGTGCGCGGCAGAAAACTCAACTTCCAGTAAATTGATAAAGCTACTTTAGCGGAACTTGAAATCATGGCTGCCGTTAAGGGCAGGACAACCACGACGTTGCCTTTGCCGTTTTTCTGGTTAAAGAGAGGCTGTATGGGGTGCCCCGCAAGTGCACACTGCTATCAGGGGGAGGATAGTTTGTAGGAACCAAATGCCTGCTTGGTTATCACACAAACAACCAACACTGGCGCTTAAGTCGTGCCAGCCTTAATAACAAACGCCTGCGCCTAACGCTAGAGTTGTGAATTCTATCAGGTCTGATCGTGTAGCAACCTAATATTGTAAGTGTCGTTCCACCCCCTCATGCTTTCGCCACCCCTAGTTGTTGTCGCTTTCCACTGTTGTCAGCATTAAACAGGGACGTCTGGCAAATACGGTCTTCACGGCTATCTCCATGACTTCCTTTTTTGCTTGTATTGACACATGGTTGACAGCTTCTGTTTCCTGGATAGCAGCATATTTTGTTACTAGTACATATGTGTACACCGATCATATGCAGGACACACCTGCCCTGGTTTTTGGTGCGTATGATCGGTGTACACATATGTACTAATGTATATCCCCTAGCAACAACCGGCAAAACGTCGGGCCCAATAGCTCGACGGTTAAGGCGTTTGCCTCTGACCGGAGAGACGGGTTCGAAACTCGAGTGTGGTAGCAATTTCCGCGGCTACACTGGAGTTTGGTAACTGCAGCTGATGACGCATAATGAGGCAGAAATGCGTATCCTGCAAGTCCCAATGTTTTCCGGTAATGCCTGATGTATATTTTTTATCCCCTTCGAGAAGTTCGTTTCTTCGCCACTTCCCGGGGAGCTGTTCTTATTTGCTACTGAAGCAGAGTGCACAACAGTTCTGGCCGATTGATTGATTGATCTGGGGTTTATGCCCCAGAATCCTGCAAGGACTGTTTTCAACTACATGCGTTGAAGCATTTCGCTAGCGCATTTCAAATTATTCTACAGATTAGTC